CTGTTTCTTTGCTAGGTATTGACTGGGGGCTGTCCACGACTTCTAGAGGCCACCTGACTTCCTTGGCTTATGGTCCCCTTCCTCCACCTTCAAAGACAGCAGTGATGGGCTGAGTCTTTTTTAGCTTTAAATGTCTCTGATCTCCCTTTTTGCCTCATGGCTCCTCCGATGTCTTCCACCACGTCTTTTGACTGACATTTCTTCTTTCCTCTTCTTTTAAGGGGCCATGTGATTATATTAGGTCCACCAGGATAAGCTTCCTATCTTAAGGTCAGTTGAATCATAACCACGCAGTCCCTTCACGGAAGTAACTAGACTAGTGTTTGACTGAATAAACATGGGACAGGAATATCGTCCTGTGAGAAATGTGAGAACATTTTTAGAATTATTCCTAAACTAGGTGTATGGTCTCAAAAAAAGTGTACTTTTAGTCTTCTATATTTCTTGGCTTTAAAGATCAGATTACTCAGGAAGGATATATAAAACCGGAAATATGGAAATAGCTGCCTGTTTTCCTAAATACAATTGAAAGACACAATAACTGAAGGTTCGAACACACACAGCCACATTTTCATGTCACAGATGAATAATAGATGGTGAGCAAAGTTTAGACACAATTTAAGAAAGAAAAAAAACTTCACTTATTCTCAAAATCTTATATATGTAATGCACAAGGGATAATAAGCATGGGCTGTGTTCAAATGGAAAGAACAAGCATGTACTGAAATCTTAAATGCAAGGATTGAAAAGAACAAATAGTGTATAGTGTACTGACAAAGAGTGTTAAAACACTTTTCCATAAGTGATTTAATGAGTCATGGTAGATCGCCTCAGCATTATCAACTGTCTTATCCTGGAGGCAGATCTTCTATTCCTTTCAGTTGCTTCCTTTGGAGTCATTCTAGCTGGTGATAAGGGAATTTTCTCCAGGAACCAATTAGACATTGAAAGATAATTCTACATGTGATAATTTAGTGCTTTCATTTACCATAATAGAAAAACATTATTACCACTCAAAACCCGATATGATTCACACCATAGCATAGTGTCCTCATGTCAATGTTCTCACAGAATAAGAATGTGCATGATGTCGGAACAAAGATTTTTAGGAGCAGGTGAATTTCCTCCCCACACAATTTCCCCTTCAGTCAATTGGACACTGAGTTGCGGATAGTGAGGAAGTGCTAGGGGTTGGCTGAGCCACAATAAGGAAAGAGCCTGGGTCACTGGATGTCCACGTGGAGGAGATCTCTGAGCAATCAGGAACACCTGCGCTGGATAGTTATGTGAGCTAGAAATATCCTTCTATTGTGTTTAGGCCTTTATACACTTTGGATATGTGCTTCCCAACAGCTGGTATCACCCACACTAATACATCGTCCACTGATCCTACCCTAGAGTTCATAACATAAACCACACTGCAAGTTCTGTAGTCCTTGACTCTTCAGATTACATAAATCCTTATCACTCTCAAAATTTTTTCAAGGATATCATTTATGTTGTAAAGGTTAAGAGTATATTTTGGAATTCAGAGCTAAGAATCTGAAACAAATATAAATTTTTTTGTGCAGTATTTCCACAGGAACAAAACACTTCAACATCATTTTCTTTAAGTTTTAATAATGGAAGGGCTGCAGAGCAAAGAGCAAAATTTAAAATAGTATAAAAAATACATGGACAAAAATGCTGAAATGTTATTCTCTTGTAAAACGTTAACTAAATAGTACAGGATGATCTTGACATAAAATTAAATTCGGGCTACCCTGGTGGCGCAGTAGTTGAGAGTCCGCCTGCCGATGCAGGGGACGCGGGTTCATGCCCCGGTCCGGGAGGATCCCACATGCCGCGGAGCGGCTGGGCCCATGAGCCATGGCCACTGAGCCTGCGTGTCCAGAGCCTGTGCTCCGCCACGGGAGAGGCCACAGCAGTGAGAGGCCCGTGTACCACAAAAAAAAAAAAGTAAATGATAGAACTGGGCTGACACCTAAGAAAAAGTCTACGGGGTCAATAGAATCAATAATTATTAGTAATAACTATATTAACATTCATATTACTACTACTTATAACATCTTTTACATCTATAATATCTCAACAAGCATAAATGGAATTAATATTAAACATTGTAACTATATGAGTAAACAAGCTTAGAGAGATTTCCAGCAAATGAGCCAATGTCATATAGCTACCATGCTCATGTTTCAGAATTAGGAATCATGTCCAAGTCCTTGCATCATTTTTAAAAAGTCCTGATTAGGAGTCTCTGATTCACCATAATAACCATCAACAAATAACAATTAGTGATAAACTACTCCATGCTGAGAATTTTAGGATTCTTTCCATAGTAGCCCATTTCAGCTACTGCTTTTACTAATTCTCATGCCACTATCCCTGGCCTCAAATAAAAAGGTAATACTGCTTTCTTGAAGATAGAGTTAACTCCTCTGAAAAATAACAAATTCCCATTGGAAAAAAAAACCCATTTGGACTTACACAGAATAACATTTTAAGATAAAAGTAAAGAATGTTACCCATTCTTTTCATTTAATAAATACAACATCCAGATTAAATGCTTTTCCTGATTTAAAGTTTCTTAAAAGTGAGTTAATATACTATTTCTGTTTACTACATTACCTAAAGTATAAGGATTTTAAGAAAGCCAAATACTGAATTAAGAAAACAGCAAATATGATTTGTAACTATAGTGACAGCTTGATTTAAACTTGGTCTTTTATCTATGATATTCAGAATTAGGATTATTTACAAAATCACATTATTGATTATTCTAGGAAGGCAATGAAAAATTGTGTAAATGAAGGCAAATTACATTATGCTCACACAACACTGAGTTACATTTAGTTATAGGGAGACTAATGAAGGTGGGTGAGAACTCAGATTCAAATCATTAATCAGAATGTTCATTAGCAAAACAGTCTTAAGAATTACATTATTAAATCACTCCCTTTTAAATAGAATTTATTCAAGTCATTTGACAATAATTTATCGTTGTACCAGAAACAATGGTGATACGTTACAGGTGCAGGAGGCATTTTGGAGAAATAAGACATACTATTGATGAGTCCCTCCTCGCCTAGGGCTTACTTTCTAAGTGCTTACTTGTCTAAAAGAGACAAGAAAGAAAGCAAGGAAGAAGAGACAGGAGGACGAAAGAGTTAAATAACTGTCAAATGTTGACTGAGGGCTTCCCTGGTGGCGCAGTGGTTGGGAGTCCGCCTGCTGATGCAGGGGACGCGGGTTTGTGACCCGGTCCGGGAGGATCCCACATGCCGCAGAGCGGCTGGGCCCGTGAGCCATGGCCACTGGGCCTGCGTGACCGGAGCCTGTGCTCTGCGGCGGGAGAGGCCACAATGGTGAGACACCTGCGTACCGCAAAAAAAAAAAAATGTTGACTGAATTAACTGATGAAAAATAATAATAGAAAAGAAGTGTACAAGTGAATACCAATGAACCTATTCTCAATAGATCAGCCAGGCTTTAATCAAGGAAACAGAACCACCATGACTGTGATGCAATCAGGAATTTATTCTAGGAATTAGACGTTGCGCAGTTGTAGGAGAAATGGGGAAAGCAAGGGTTCCCAAAGGGGAGGTGGAAGCTTATTTAGCAGTCATTATACGTCATTAGGCACCCTCCTGAAGCACTGGCACAGGGGCCCATGTTAAAGCTTACAGGGGATCTGGAAACAAGGACCACCCAGCTGCTGGAGTGGGCTGCAGTGGATGTTGGTATAGAAGGAACTCTTCGGTTACTGCCTCTGTGAGTTCACAGCCAAGCATGTAGTGGGCCTGGGAGGCTGTGGTTCAGGAGGGTCAATGGACAAGAAGAGCAGTATTCAGAGCACGGAAGAAGAGTGAGGATACGCTGGGACCCATCAGCACCTCCACATCTGTCTTTCTCTGCCTCAAACCATGATGACATTTAGGGAGTGACAGCTACTGCTTCACTGGTCCAAATCTCATGCAAATTCAAATTCTCTTGTGGGCAACTCCAAGCTGGGACCATACAGGGAAGAGGATTCTGAGACATGTAGTTCCAGACTAGCCAAGCTGACAAAATTCAAACTCTCCCATGAGGGCTTTTGATGTACACACAATTTCACTTTTTTCTATGCTATGTGGTATCTAGGTTTCCTATTTATAACATATTATTTCAAAATAAGGTCATAAGCAAAAATAATTACTTTTAGAAATGATGTTAAAATCAAAGTCAGTAAGTGCAAAGCTATAAAGTTATAAAATTCCTTTTTAGTCTCCTTTTGGTGATTCTGCAAGTTGCTCTGCTTACTCACCTAATGCTTTGCACTTTGCATGTATCATTTCAAATTCTTATGAAATCCCCACAGAATAGTGGCAATTTGCCAGAGCTTTTGCTCTCACTTTTCTGAAAAAGATAAACGAAGTGAGGAGAAATGTAGTGGCTTGTGCAACATTCATGGTGGGGTGAACCGCGAGAAGATGCTAGCGTGATGACTCCTCTATTACTAGTCTATGCAGTGAGGACAGTGTTCTCTGCTGCAGGAAGTCAGAACAGATATCAGGGGATGGCATCAGCTGATCTGCAAGTACAGTATGTACGCTTATTCCTTAAGTGCATGGAATAGATCCATGCAATTCAGATCATTTCTCCAGAGAATGTCAAGGACTGGAAACCACATGCAAAACTCTGGCAATCTTCATAGCATGAAAATAATGCATTGCACACTTCCAGCTGAAAGAGTGGGCTTGTGCGTGATTTAATAAATGCGACTTTTGGATGTTTCAGTACAAATTCACTTTATTTCAGTAATTCTCTGGAGCCTGGATATTGTTTCCACTCTCTAGTAATCAATAGCCAACGTCAACCAATTTGACTTTTTTTAGTATTTATTTATTTAGGCTGTGCCGGGTCTTCATTGCAGCATGAGGGATCTCCGTTGCAGCATGTAGGATCTTTAGTTGCGGCATGCGGACTTCTTAGTTGTGGCATGCATGCGGGATCTAGTTCCCCGACCAGGGATCAAATCCAGGCTCCCTGCATTGGGAGCGCGGAGTCTTACCCACTGGACCAACGGGAAGTCCCTTGATTTTTTTTTTAACATGGTTCATCTGTTATATTTAGACAGTACCTGTAAATAAAACAAAGTGATTTGAATTGGAGAGATATTTGGTATTGAAGACAAAGTCATAAAACTGATTTGTAGTTAAAACAGACATTTTTATATTTCCAAATCTAATATGATCCGAATCCTGTAAGATAATGTTCATACCAATGGAATTGAAGTGGAGAAATACAGTGTTTGCTTCAAGAGAATTACTACCTTAAGGTCAGGCTAAATGTATTTTTTTCCTCTACAGCTATCAAGTGGATTTAGACTGTGTCATTAAAATGAAAAAACCTCTATATATTATCTTTAGAGATGGATGGGAAAATGCTTTAAGAGGAGATAAATTGCACATCGAAATAAACAATTTTACTAAAATGTGGAGTTTCAAGTAAAAAGTTATTTCAGCAAATAATCTGCTATTTTTATAGGAAGCATTTGGCCTCACAGTCACAGGTCCATATTTCAGAGACAATGACAATGAAGAGGTCTTTATTAATACCAAAGAACACTAAGCTGGATTAAAACGTTAAATAACATTTTTTTGCCTGTATTTTATTTATTTTATTTTATTTTTTTAACATCTTTATTGGAGTATAATTGCTTTACAATGATGTGTTAGTTTCTGCTGTATAACAAAGTGAATCAGCTGTTCGTATACATATGTTCCCATATCTCCTCCCTCTCGCATCTCCCTCCCTCCCACCCTCCCTGTCCCACCCGTCTAGGTGGTCACAAAGCACCGAGCTGTTCTCCCTGTGCTATGCGGCTGCTTCCCACTAGCTATCAGTTTTACATTTGGTAGTGTATATATGTCCATGCCACTAAGTACATCAGATGTACTTTCTTCATCCATAAATATGAACTAATTCTTACTTAATTCTAAGACTGTGGAGATTAAATGTGATAATCCATTAGAAAATATCTAGCATCTACTGATACATGGTGTATGTACACTAAATGTTTATTTTCTTCCTTTCTTTCTTGAGATTTACTTATTATGGCACAATTTGCAAAATCAGTTTACTTGCCTCAAAGGATTCGCTCAAGTATAAAAAGGGTCAGGAGGAACTCTGAGAACAAATATCAGATTGTATTAACATGCAACCCATTTTTGCTTCTAATATGCCAACTGTTTTCCTTCCTGTAGCAGAAAATCTTACTCCCACAGAATTAAAAAAAAAAAGAAAGATGTCACTATTGAGACCTGTGTTTCCTACTAACCTCTACCAGTATGCCAATACCTAAACTTATTTGACCAAATAGGGACCCATAATCCATTTATCCTAATGTTATGTTCATGTCTCTTACCATCTTCTTTACTACTTCTGAACAACACAAACTTAACATTCCCCTTAGCTAGACTAAACTTTAAGCAAGTTTCTTTCTGACTGTAGGCCCCTGACCTTTCTTTTCTTAGAGCATTTATTTTAGAAAATGAGTAATTGCAAATTCTTTCTCTGCCTCTTTGAAATGTAGAGAAATCTTCTCCCAGCCTCTTACCAGCTTTACAACCCAGGGATGTCTTTTTCAAGGACCTGGATGCCATCTCTGAAATGTAATCAAGAAAGACGGTACCCCTATCTCCCAGTGAAGGGGTAGCAACCTAACTCAATAAGTAGCCACTAGCAAACACAGATGGCTTAATCACAAAAGAAAACATCTGAAAACTCAGGAGTGATTTTCAATGTGTTAGACACAGCCCATTGACCAACCCCACCTTCCTATGTCCTCTAGTACTTTTCCACTAACTCACCCCAGCTCTTAAAATCCCTCCTGCCTTTTGTTTCAGTGGAGTTCTCCTCCTGGGCAGTAGTCTTGAATAAAGTCAACCTTGCCTGTTCAACTATGTCTGGTGCCATTTTTCCTTGACAGTGCCCTCCTTACCAAGTGAGTTCTATGACTCATCATTAAAATAATACCCTTACGAATATCTTGAGCTCATTTGCCCCTCTTGTGCCCAAGCCCCAAATCCAGAAAATCAGCCTCTTCAATGCTTTGGTTACAGAAAAACACACAGCAAACTGATTCACTTCACTCCCTGTCTGCTGACTTCAAGTCCTAGAACACCATTTCATCCCTTCGTTTGCCTTAAATGCCCCACACCTCCTTAGCCACACTCATTTTTCAGCAGATGACATCATTTCCTATTCTACAGAGAAAATAGAAGCAACCGAATAAAATCTCCACCAGCTTCCACCATCTAACCACCTGCAACTGAGACTTTATACTCTGCCTTCCCAACAATTGTTGATAAGCTGGCTGTTCCTAGGTCTCAGGCAGCCCTTCCACTGTGTCCCAGAAACTATCCTCCCCCAGTTTTACTTAAGAACACAGCAGTAGAAACTCTCCTCGCTTTTACCTTGTGTTACCAATTTTCACTACTCTGCTCAATCAGTCCCATCATCCTGCAACATTTTGTAGGTACTCCCATTTAGGAATAATTAATAGCAACAACAACAACAACAAAAGCCCTTTCAATTCCAAATCCCCTTCCAGATACTGAAATTGATTTCTCTTCCCCTTTTCAACAAGTCTTGAGAAAGCGTTTATAAGTTCTCTCTTCCCATCCTCTTTTAAACTTCCTGAATTTAGGCTTTAGCTCCCACCTACCAAAACTGTTTTTGTCTAGGCCACAGATAAACTTTAAATCCAATTCTAAGGAGGCAATTTATTTAACTTGTCAGCAGCATTTGGTATAAGCAATATTTCCCACACTTGCTTCACATGGCTTAAAGAACACAAAACTGTTTAATTTTCCTCTTAAATAACTGACCCATCTTTCTCAGCATACTTTACTGTTTCTTTCCATCTTTCTATCCCTTAGTGAGTGTGACTGGAGCTTCAATTCTCTTTCTTCCATAATTGAACTTACTCCCTAGGGGATCTCATTCAGTTTAATGGTATTAAATACCATCTAGATGAAAACAATGCCCTAATTTTTATCTCCAGCTCAGATTTCTCCCCTGAATTCAGAGTATTTATCCAACTACTTACCAGACATTTCCATTTGGCTGTCTAATGGAAATCTCGAGCATAACATGCCCAAACCCAGACTTCCTGATTTTCATTCCAAACCTGCAACTTCAGGGTCTTCACCATCTCTGTCAATGTCAATGCCTGTGTCACCTTTTCATTTGCCAGGGAATGAAGGGTGAAGGTGGCACATGGGAATTAACCTTGATTTGTCATTCTCTGTCTCACAGAGTGATGCTTTACAAATGTAAGATATTACAACTTTGTACAAAATACGCTGGTAGCTTCCTGGCCCGTATAATGTGAAAGCCAATGGCCTCACAATGGCCTATAAGGCCTTACCTGGTCTAATCTCTCAGTTACCTCCCTGAGCTCATCTCCTACTGCTCTCTACTCTATCCACACATGCCGCTTGCTGTCCCTCAATATGACACACATGCTACTGCCTCAGAATGTTTAGAGTTGTATTTGTTTTGTCTGAACGCTCTTTTGCAAATGTCATGGCTCACTCTCTCATCATCACTACTCCCCTGGCCATCCTATTTCAAATTTCAACTCTACCCCTGCACCACTCCATCACACTAGCTTTCTCCTTGCTTTACTTTTCTCCAGAATCCTTCTTAACATCTGATGTAACATATATTGATATATGCATGTATTTATCATCTGTTTAGCTTAATTTAACACAAGCCTTGTGAGAATAGAGATTTTTGTTTTCTTGGTACCTAGAAAAGTGTCTGGCACCTAAATATTTAAGAAGGAAGGGAGGGAAGGAGGAAAGAATGAAACTAATTTCAATTCCATAATATTAAGAATTATATATTATTAAGAATCAATCATCTATGTGGTAGTTATTAGAGTGTTTATTTTCTTAGCCTTCTTTTTGAAACTTCGTTGCATATTTGTCAGCTCTTAGAACTTGGTTAAGATAGAAGATAGGGGGCTTCCCAGGTGGCGCAGTGGTTGAGAGTCCGCCTGCCTACCGATGCAGGGGACACGGGTTCGTGCCCCGGTCCGGGAAGATCCCACATGCCACGTGGGCCCGTGAGCCATGGCCACTGAGCCTGTGCGTCCGGAGCCTGTGCTCCGCAATGGGAGAGGCCACAACAGTGAGAGGCCCATGTACCGCAAAAAAAAAAAAAAAGATAGAAGATAGGACCCTAGCTTGAATATAAAATTCCAGGGACAGATATGAAAACACTGCATCCTCTTTCTCCCACTTATGCTGCCCTTACAACTTAATTTGATCTCAAATCCCTATCCCCTCAAACCCTGTAAAACTGTTAGAAAGAGTTCTATTCTTAGAAATTATATGAATTCAGTATCATCCTCTCTCAAAACTCTTAGCTACTAAGAGAGAATTAGACCAGGTGGTCAGGTTGAGTTTACTGCAAGACCTAATTCTTAGTAGAGTCTCCCTGGGTAAGGGTTTGCTTCTCAGTGTTGATGATTCTACATCTTAAAATTATTTAACTAAAATAATAAAGAGCCTCAAGAACATATTGATTTTTTAGAGTAAAGGCACACTTTGTTAATGTACCTTTATTGTAATATAGAATGTATCTTTCCACTCATCAGGAAACATGCTTCTCTATATTTAACCTCTAATATCTCCTCCATAATAATCTTCTATTAAGGACTGTCATGTTAAACTCCTGCACTTAAACTCCTATAATGGTTCCCTATTATTTTGCAGATTAAGTCTAAAATTCTTATAGTTATACAATTATTATTAAATATCCAACCTCAAAATCAACTTAATTTTTTATAATTCAATTTAACTTCTGTTTCTATTTTATCATTGTGGATGAAATCTTCAGTCTCTTCTAGGGTCATCTATATATTTGTTTTTATCTGAATAATAGTATTAACTTTTACTACCATTTAATGTAGTACCCACTCCCCACATACACCATATACCTCCCAGGGATTTCTTATAGTACTCAGGTCTTAAGTTGTGTCAAGGAACGAATCGACGGAGGGAGGACAATGTGGTCCTTTGCTCCAATAATTTGACAGTGTGATATACATCACCCAGTTGGTTTGGCTACCAGTGACTAGACACTATTCTGTGCCACGTGGAACACAAAATACTTTGGAGAAAGTGTCCAAGGCTTCATCTTTCTAGACACACCACACGCTTCTCTCTGGGGACATGCTAGATACCTTCTGAGACGCTAGGTGGCTGTCCTGTTCACAAGATACAAGACTCACCAACACATCTCTCTCTTTCTCCATCTATCTTTCTTACTTTTCCCCTCCCTCCCTCTCTCTATCTATCTTTCTCTACCTTCTCTTCTCTCCACAGTTCAAGGGATCTCTTTTGAATCTAGGGGCCTATAAGTGGGAGCTTCCTGCTCTGGTTCTCTCAACGCATATTGTTTATACCAGGAATCCTTTCCCTATTTGATGCATCTAGATTCTGGAAATTAAAGTTGTAAGGACTTGTAAGTCTTGTCCTATTAGCATCTCTAGCACATGCCTCCTCCAAAACAATGAGCGCAGAGCTCACTAGCTTCTTGAACGGAGAGACAAGTAAGGGGAGGGGGGGAGAATTATGACTTAAGATCAAGAACACAACAGTTACAGTTGGATTCCCACTTCATCTCCTCACTCATCCACACTCTGCCTGCATTCCCATAACATCAGATGGTTCAGAGCTTCCTGAATGCATTCTCTCATTCATATATCCCAATCTTTGACCAGTGTATTTGTCTTCTGCCCTGAATGACTCTTCATGTACAAACAAAAATGTGTGCAGTATGATGAAAGAGAAGGAGATAGGGATCCCACTCCCAGCACGTTCATACTTGGGTGCACCACCCTCTTCCTAGAGGAGGATGACAGTGTTAACCTCTGCATTAAATAGTGGGGAAGAGTAATTATTTTTTTCAGATAAAAACAAACCTATAAATGCATGTCTATATATACATATATGCACATATATATGTGTATGTGTCTGTATACACATATCCATGTATCTTTAGATGCAGGAATATTTTGTTTAACATTCGCATAGATCTGTTGACCATTTTATGGACCCTTTAACGTGTATACACACTACTTTGAAGACTTCTGTTTAACATATATTCACCTCTAACATTTTATGCATTTAAGGTGCCATCTTAGTGTCCTGGTACCAATTTTTCAGACATATTACAACTCATTATTACCGAACTTACCTTACATTAATTACTTGATGAGTTTTGGGAGAGAGGTTAGTCACTTGATAGTAATTATGATGACATTAGTGTTCTCAGCAGAGCTTCCACAAATCATTTCTTCCTGTGGCTTACCTCTGGAGGTGGATAAACACATATACTTTATGAAAATGGTGATTACTTTCAATATCATAGGGTAATATTTTCTGACCTTGCTCCTGAATTCTGAGGATGAAGCTCACTATGCCCAGATTAGAGCTCAGCTGTACAAACCCCCAGTTAAACCCCTTGGAAAAGAGTTTTCAATAGTAAGGATTTGGTTTATTATCATGCAAGGATATTTTTTACCCTCTATCTACAATGTACACCTTTCTACAGCTTTTATTTTCAGGGTTATCAGCCACAAGGGAGCCCTCAGTACAGTCTAGAGATTCTTCTAGGTTCATTGGTCAGCTCCATCTAACTTTGTTTCCAGCATCTACTCTAAATCCTGCCAACGTCACTAATGATGTAATGTTGCTGAAGTATCTGATCACTTTTTGGTTGTTATTTTGACCCATCAGCAATTATCAGGTTAGTTTGCCCAAGAAGGCCATTATCTCTCTGAGAAGCAGCTCTCTCAGTAACAATACACTGACAAGTTCACCTTTACCTGTTTAGGATTCAACAAAGTCTCTTTGCCACAAGACATTTTTCTTGATCACGGTTCTATCCATACAGTCTTAACTCTCACCATTCCCTACGTCTTACCTTTTATTCCAACCATATCCAATTTTCTCAAGTCTCTAAGTTTTTGCAAATGCTACTCCTTACTGTAATGTCCTTCCGCATCCTTCACATTTAACACACAGCCCAGATCTCTGAAAACTATCTCTGTGCACCCACAAATATCCTCCTTCCCTTGTCTGGGTCTCAGCCTTCTCCTCTGTGCTCCAAGCACCTCCTCTGTGATAACAATTTTTAACTAGTTTTATTGTCAGTTTACTTTCTGGCCTTTCCATAAGATAGTAGGTTCTTCTGTATAGTATAGGGACTTGCAAAGATTAGCCATTCAGTAAATGTTTGTTGAATAAATTAAAGAATAAATCTCCATTCTTTCCCCACTTTCCCTTTTTTCCTAACCTTTTCACATTTAAGTATTTTGAAACTTTAAAAGTCAAATTATTTTTTAAAAAATCAGAATCTCATAACCCCATTGTGTGCTAACCTTTATAAAAATAGCAAGAGAAAACGTATATTTTTGCTTTTGATTTTAATACTATTGATATTGTTGATGTTGAAAACAGAATTGTTTTCCTAAATATGTTAGAAAATGAATCAATAGATTGAATCAGATCTCTTTTAATCATTTAATGATTTAAAACTTAAAAATAAGATACAAAACATAAGTTTTTATTTTTCTAAAATTCTCTAACTTTTTTGAAAAAAGATCTTGCCACTATTCTACATTCACCACAAAGCTGCAATATAATTTGTAGGCAGGAAGTTTTAAATACTAAGCTTTGCTTATTAATTCCTTGAATTTAAACAGCTCTTACAAGAAAAACAACTAAATTGCAGCCAGCATGAAGAAATTGAATTCAGTGGTGATGGCTATCATTAAAGCTGTGACCTTACATTATTCTGTCATATGCCTAAGGGCATTAAAAGTACTCTAAATTAATTTTAGGAGCTACACAGTCATGTTTCCTTTAATCACAGAATCCAAGAGCAGTATGCTCCTTGGTGCTCTGCTATCATATTTTTAATCTTCATAACATGATTCTGCAATGTGTCCTGTTTATAGAAAAGTTCTGCAGATTTTTCCAGAATTATTTTCTTTTAATCTTGGTAATAATATGCATCTCTTCATACCTTCTCCCAATGCTTCACTGAAATGAGAAAAAGAAATTTTTTCTTTGCATTATATGTTCAGTCAACCTGTCTACTCCCAGTGTTTAAAGATGCCTTTAAGGTTGCCAATAACAGGCAAGCACGGATGCTCATATATCTTAAAGATCTTTGTGTGCTTTCAAAATGGCAGAAACTTAAATAGTGTTTAATTTGTGGTGAGCAGTGCAATTCTCACAGTAACCATTTATGCTTCATCCCTCACTTTATGGATAGGGTAACTGAGTCCTAGAGAAGTTTAGTAACTTGCCTGAGGTCAGCCAGCTGGTCAGTAGCTGGAATACAATCTAACAGAGCCAAACTTACAGGAAATGTGGTGTGAACGTAAATAAACCTCCCACCCTTACCTTCCTCCTGCAAATTAAACCTAAATGACCAAAAAATTACTAAAACTAATGGAAAAACTTACATCAGTCTCAGACACTAGATAGAGAATGACATTATTATGTGTCCTATGTCAAATAATTTCTAGATATGATGCAGATATTACTAAAAATAAGCTTCGGAGGAGAAACATCATCTTTTGTGGAGGAAGAAGTTCCATATCCCTGAAAGCAATAGTAGAGGCGATACTAAGAGATCAGGAAATACTGGACTGTCTGCTGAGCCAGTTTCTTAAGAGTCATGGGGGCACTCAGCAGCAGGCTAGTTATGGAAAACAGCTCTTAGGTGCAGGAATTTCTCTAAAAAGAGAGTAGACTCAAACCAAAAAGGAAGTAGTATCAATACAAGACCAGCTCACTCACCACTTTTATCTGGCTAGTGGATCACCTAAAGTGAACTGCTAACCCTGTTAGCAGCATTTGATTCAGTTGATTAGTTCCTTCTTCTTAAATTATTTCTTTACTTGGCTTCTGGGAAATCATAGTCTCCTAATATTCTTCCTACAACTTGTTTCCACCTCAGTCTCTTTACAGCTTACCCCTCTCCTTCCTGAATGTTTAGTATTTCAGTGCCTATGGCTCAGTGCTGCATTCCTTTGTCATAGGCACGCTCATTCTTGGTGACCTCATCCAGTCTCATGGCTTTAAATACCGTCTAATCACTGATGACTCTGACAGTATGTCTCCAGCCTGACTTTCTGTGATGAATTCAGACACATGTCCAACCGTCTACTCAATCTATCTTCTTGGATATGTTGAAGGAATCTGAAGCACAAATACCAAAAATGGAATTTCTGAGCTTTTCCCACAAATCTGCTCTACTTGAAGTCTTACCCATTACAATTAATGGGAATTCAACTTTGTATTTATTTATTTTTCGTGGAAAGGCATTTTATTTTAAACATAGCAGTGTGTACACGTCAATCCCAAATTCCCAACCTATCCCTCCCCCCAACCCTTCCCTCGTGGTAACCGTAAGTTAATTCTCTAAGTCTGTGAGCCTGTTTCTGTTCTGTAAATAAGTTCATTTGTATCATTTTTTTTTAGAGTCCACATACAAGCAATATCATATGATATTTGTCTTTCTCTGGAATTCAACTTTTTAATTTCTGAAGCCAAAAACCTAATGTTCAATCGGCAAGCAAATATTGGATTTTTAAATTTGTGCTTAGATACTAATTACAGTGTATACACAGGAGCTGGAACTGAGAGGATGGAGATATAGATGGGGAGACATTTCACTCTCTATGTTAATTTTTTTTAATACATGAATGTATTCCTATAGAAAAGTTAAAGGTAAAATTCCATAGGCTGAAGTAAATAGGGACACATTACTCATAGGGACAACGACACATAGATGTTAACATACTGCCTCCATGAGAAGAAAGAAAAGTTGCACATGTCCATCTTTTACAAGGAAAAATTAGAATTTTGTTATCTGCATTATGATCCATACCACAAAAGCAACACTCTTTTTAACTTTATCATTTGCTGCAAATAAACAGTTTATATAGATGAAGTGCTGAAAAAAAATCAGTATTTATTAATCAATTTCTGTGACTACTTATTGCTCTGTGTCACCAATCAATAGTATTTATCTTCTAAATAGTCCATAACATTTAGGTAAGCAATAAAACCCGAGAATTGAGGACAGCCCCAATTTGATTCTGTTCCTCCTGTTTTAAATTCCATCCTTAAATTTCAAAACATCACAAACCATATTTTAATATTTACATTTTAACTGTAATCTCTGCTTACAAAAATATTTGGATTATATTTTGAAATATGCAGTTGTAAGATGTCCCCAGGAAGAGAATAATAAAATTCTAAGAATTAAAGATACTGAAAAAATTTCATTAATAATCCCATGGTGTAAGGTAGAGAGAATTAAGAAATGTAGAAATGATGGGTTTCCCTTTACTTCAATCCAAAACAATCAGTGCTAGGGAAGCTGTGGAGTTCTGCTCTCAGCTCTGACATGTAAAGAGCTTGAGCTATTTGTAATGAGGTGGATGGACCTAGAGTCTATCATACAGAGTGAAGTAAGTCAGAAAGAGAAAGACAAATACCATATGCTAACACATATATATGGAATTTAAGAAAAAAAAATGTCATGAAGAACCTAGGGGTAAGACAGGAATAAAGACACAGATCTACTAGAGAATGGACTTGAGGATATGGGGAGGGGGAAAGGTAAGCTGTGACAAAGTGAGAGAGTGGCATGGACATATATACACTACCAAACATAAAATAGATAGCTAGTGGGAAGCAGCCGCATAGCACAGGGAGATCAGCTTGGTGCTTTGTGACCACCTAGAGGGGTGGGATAGGGAGGGTGGGAGGGAGGGAGACGCAAGAGGGAAGAGATATGGGAACATATGTATATGTATAACTGATTCACTTTGTTATAAAGCAGAAACTAACACACCATTGTAAAGCAATTATACCCCAATAAAGATGTTAAAAAAATAATAAGAAGAAAGAAAGGAAGAAAGAAGAGAAAAAGAAAAAGAGCTTGGAAGTCACCTCTCCCATGAGAATTAGGGTCCCAGGGCAAATCATCACCTGAAATCTGGAGAGAAAGGTGAATATAGAGAAGATTCTCTTACCTAGAGCAAGACATTGAAGCCATAAAGTGGCTGGAATATTTAAATTATTTTGACAAATTGCTGGAAGCTTATTTTGCACTAACTACAGGAGAGTGAGAAGCTCCTGGAGGCTACAGTCATAGCTCCCCAGCATTTTCATGGGTTTTATCTCCAGGGAAGCTACTAGGTTCTCATGGTGAAGATCAGAGACAAATCCCCTTATGCTTCCGGCAGGGGTAGTGGAAAAGTAACCATATTGAAATATGTCCAGAGCATGACAAAGGACTTCTCTCCAAGGGAAACAATTTTACCAGAACCTTATCTACCTAGGGGGAGGACAGTTAGTCAAATCCAGTACTAATCTTCCTGTACCCCCTAAAGAGAGGGGAAAAAAAAAACAACTAAGGACACAAAATGAAGGTCACAACCCAGGTACACAGGCCACTCTTTGACATAAATCTTAGCAATATTTTGGTGGAATCTGTCTCCAAAGGCAAAGGGGAAAAAAAGGAAAAAGTAAACAAATCAGATCTAATTAAACACGTTTTTGCAGCAAAAGAAACCATCAGCAAAATGAAAAGACAGCCTATGAATTGGAGAAAATATCTGCAAATGATATGACTGATAAGGGGTTAATATCCAAAGTATATAAACAACTCATAAAACTCAATGTCCAAAAACAAACAAACAACAAAGAACAACAACAAAAAAAACCCGATACAAAATGGGCAGAAGACCTGAAAAGACATTTTTCCTAAGGAAGACAAGCAGATGGCAAACAAATACATGAAAAGATGCCCAACATAGTTAATCATCAGAGCAATGCAAATACAAACCACAATGAGATATCATCACGTACCTGTCAGAATGGCTATCGTCAAAAAGCTCACAAATAAATGTTGGTGAGGATGTGCAGAAAAGGCAGCCCTAGTACAGTGTTGGTAGGAATATAAATTGATGCAACCACTGTGGAAAATAGTACGGAGTTTCCTCAAAAAACTAAAAAACAGAACTACCATATTATCCAGAGCATATACTCCTGGGTATATATCTGAAGAAAATGAATACACTAATTTGAAAAGACACACGCTCACCAATATTCATAGCAGCATTATTTACAATTGCCAAGATATGGAAGGAGCCTATGCATCCATCAACAAATGATTGGATAAAGAAGAAAAGGTGTACAGGTATATCTTATGATAGCTCCAACTCAAAGACGGATCTAGTTCTGTACAGCACGTTTCCTTCATGGGGCTGTATTTTTGTCAGGGTTGATTTCTCTTCCAACACAGCTTCACTCTGCCCTTGATCCTAAGGACACAACATTCATCACTATGATTTGGGCTATAGAATGACAGCAGGCCCAATGCCGTTTTGCTTGCCAGGTGAGGAATGAGAGTGCTCACAACATCTCAGAGGAAACAAAAATCCTCTTTGGGGCCAAAACCCTCACACCTACCTTCCTCTTCAGTTTTTGAACATAACAACTGCTCTGAATTTAACGGAAGTAGGGACTATTGCCAGAATGAAAACAGTATTAACTAAAATAGCCTGTTGAGTCCCAGGCCAGATTTGCTTTATAAGTTAGAGCAAAGAGAACACGAGACTGTGTTGTTTGTAAGTTGGAGGTAATTTCCTGGGGTTATTTTTAAACCATGAGCAGAATTTCTCTGTGGTTGTCAGGACCTTCACGGACAGGGACTCACTTTTAGGACATACTTATTTGAGCCAGCATAATGTGTGAGCAAGAGAATTTCATTTGATAAAGCTATTAAAATAATGAATGTGGTTCACTGATTATTAAAACATTGCTGTCTGACTTTTTAAAAGCTTGAAAAACTCAGGAAAGTATAAAGAGAAAGTACAAATCACCTGTAACCTCGGCTCCCAGAGACAACTACTCAGCATTTTAGTCTTTTTAAAACACTTATAATTTTACAGAATTGAGATCTAAGCGAAAACAGTGTTTTAATTTAGCATCTTATTATGAGCATTTCAGCAGTTTTTATAGCCATCACTTTCTTGGACTGGATAAAAAGTGTCCTACAATTTTTTTTATAGTTCCCCTATGGTGAATCACGTAAAGAAATTCAACTTTAATGTATTTATCTTGATAACCTTTCTGGCATTAAAACCCTTAATTTTATCATTTATAATAAGCAATATAATTATTTTCTTTTCACAAATATTAATTAATAGTTTCAACTCATTGGTAAACCATATCCTCCTCAGATGAAGCAGCCACTGTTCTGATGAAAAAGATCCTTGTGTCTCTTTAATATGAAAGCTCAGTCACCACATTTAGCATCAGATGGTCTCTCATGGTCAGGTGTACGCATGTGCAAAATATGTGTGCTGTTTGTGTGTATTTGTAAGTGGGATGAGGATGTTTAGGGAAAAGTCATATTGGCAATTTTCTCCTTTCAGTATTTTTAAAATGACATTGAGTTCTGTGAGATTGATTCACACTCTGAGTTTCTTATGGAAGAGCCCAAGTTTAAGCCTTTAGAAATAGGTGAAAATAAAGCCTTTTCTTCTTGTTTATAGTATATATATTGTGATCCCCTCCCCCCCAAAGGTATAATCTTCATAAAATCCTTACTTATAGCTATTAGGAAAATTGGACCAAACCCCTAAGAAATACATTTAATGTTTACCTATAATACCCTTATTTTATGCCTGTTTTAGCTGAGGTTCTGCAGTTCCTTGAAACAAAATATAATCCATGATGATGTAGTTTGAAATTATGAGAAGCAAAACAACTGTAATAGATAAAGCACAAAAGAAAATTAGTACAGTATTAATTTAGCTAGCTTTGTACTTGCTGACAGTAACAAGAGCAACTCTTGATAAATTAAGCATATTCACATTGATTTGAAAGTATGCATACTTAATAGAGAAGCTTAACTTTGCCTACCTACTGTGTCTGTTGGAAAAATACCAATTGGAGTTTACTTACTAACAAAATATCACAACTAGTCATTATGTAAACAGA